TCTGCGGAGCGTGTTTATCCTTTCGAGGAGACGGGCCGTGCGGACAGGGCCAAAGTACACAACGGCGGGCCGGGAGTCAACAAAGCGGGGAGCCGGCCGGCAGTCCCACTCCCAGCCTCGGCCCTCCTTTCTTTGGCTAAGGCTCAGCGAGCATGCTGGCTGGGCGTAGGGTACACACTCCATACGCTCCTGTATACAGTCACTGGGCTCACAACCTGCTGTTGCACTCTTCAGAAAACCCACAGTGATAATTACCAGGCAGCATTACCTAATAATGAGCTCTACACCTTTAATATTACAGAAGTTCTTAATTAAAACTGATTATTTTCTTTTTACACCTAGCGTCCGCTCTTTCTAAGACATGTCTGAATATTGCGTTTTTGAGTGTGACCCCCAATGTTTGGGGGGGGGTCCCCTGTTGACCACAAACAGTCACTAAGCCAGAGGGCCCCACAGTTACTTTTTGAGTGAGGACCCTGAAACGATAAACCTTAACTGCAGCCATGTAACGAAACGGCAGGGGGGGTGGGGTGGGGTAGGGTGGCAACTGAAACGGTCTAGGCAGCAGTTCACAGACCTTTAGCTGCCATCGCCCTTTCACTTTGACTGATCCCGCCCCCCCCGCTCTGGAACACCGTGACGGTAACATTTATTTACACCTTTATGTCTCATTCACTGCTATGCGAGTAAAAATAAGCTGCACAGACTCAGCCCCATTAACACTCCGACTGTGTGAAAAAAATGCTAACAGTATTGTAATTTATACGAGACATTTTTATTTCAAGTGAAAGATAAAATTTCACCCCTTAAGTCACACATGGAGGGACACTAGCTAGAGAGCGTTGGAAATACTCCAGGCCCGGAAGGTGAACCTGCATTTCCAAAGCCTGGGTCCTTTAACTACGACGCCACCTGTTGCTGAATATTAGCAAGGATTTGTTTCCATTACTGGGGATTGATTAAGGGCCATGTTTTGTCCTGCATCAAACATGAGTGTGCAGCGAGTGTGGGATCTCCTCCGAATGGGCAGGTAGACCAGTCTTCAGTTGCTCTGTTTAACTGCCCTGTGTTATCCCAAGAAAGCACTCCAGTATCCCACCTTATTTCCAGAAAGTGGTTTGAACCGGGTGAGGCCGAACATATTGGCATGACCCAAGCTTCAGAATGAAAGGGGGGTTTGCCATGAACGCTGAGATGCATTCAAAGGGACAGTCAGTCTGACCCACGTTAAAATCTCCATCATCACTGGGGGGGGGAGATGATAATGAAAAAGGAAACACAGAAGGAAAGAGACAAAAAACAAAATACTACTAGGGTCACCTCTAGGTGCGAAAAAATGAGAGGAGAAAGGCTCAGCCTAAATAACTTTCAGGTGGGAGAGGTTTAATGAAAATGTCCGCCCCAGGCTGTTAGGCAAGAACAAATCACTAGTGATAGGCAGGGGAGCCGTGACCCCGAAGTGGCTTCAGATGAAACCTCAGAAGAAGGGTTTTTTTTGGTTGTTTTTCAAAGATCAGTTTGAAAGTAGGAAAGCGACTCGTCAGAAATGTAATTAAACATCTGTAGGAGGTGGCTTTCTACCCTCTCTTTTTAAATTTAATCGTGTCCAGTCTCTCCCCCCCCCCAGGCCTGCAGCAGAGACTTTTAAGGGAGTAAATTATACATGTCTCCGTGTGCCCCCCTCCCCTGCAAGCCTAAATGCGGTTGTGGCGTGTCCTTCCCTCATGGCTCACGGCTCACTCCAGCACCTTTTCATGCCCCATTTCTCCACCAAACAACTATTCAAAGATGGAATCAAAATAATATTGGGTGGGACAAAAAAAAAAACAAACATTGTTCAAACCTCGTTTCAGGGTTGACAGTCCCACTGTGGGGGACCTTGCAGGCTGCTTCCTCCCCTAATTCAGTTAGCCTAACTCTCCGGAGGCCCTGTATGATGCAACGCCGTCTCTCTCATCCTCCATTTTTCATTCACTTTTTAATGCGTTTATACCGCTTCTGCAAACACCTGCAACAGAACCCGCCGCGTCACGAAACAATTACCGTAAGAGTCGACCAGACAACGGCCAAATTCCTTTTTTTTTAATGAATCTGCTTTGCTTAGAGGTTAATCATTCATATTTATTGTTTTATCGGCAAAAAAAAAAAAAAAAAACTTTTAGTCTATCTTCACAGGTGTCGTCCGCATTTAAAAAGAAAAATTAACATAAAAACATTTGTTTTCTTTTTTCGCAGTTGTGTTTATACGAGGCACTTTAAAATATAGTTTCCATTTCTATTCCCATAAACACTGTTGTGCCCGCACTACAAAATACATTTCTTTGACCTCCCCCGCTTGAAGTAGCTGCAACTTGTTCACTCTCCACGTGCTGTTTTTCATTGTCATTGACTCCGCGGGGAGTCAAGCGCCGCCATGTGATCCACGTGGTGCGCTAAAAAACAAAAAAAAAAAAAAACACCTGGGGACGTAGCGCTGATTCCCATGATGCTTTTCATTTTTCTACTCATAAGAAAATGTCACGACCAATAAGAGAAGCGATACCTTCCCGTCACATGACCAGTGCATGACAGTCATGGCCACTGCAGTATGAGCCACCGCAGCGAATCAAGAGTATCTGGCTGCAGGCTCCATCAGGAGGACCTCCACTAGAGGGACGGAAACACGTGATCTCCACGAGCGGGTCCGGACATGACGTTACGCAAACTTATGCCATGGAGGCGGTACCACATATCATTTCACACACAGCTCGGACTTTAACTCGACCGAACAGAAAGCGAGTCTTTTAAAGTATATACTTATTTTGGTGATCGATTTTATTAACATTGGAAACGGACGTTAATACTGTTTAGTTTGTTGATTTGTTCGCCTCACCGAGTTCCCCTAACATTTCTTGTCATTACCGACACCTATTTATTGTATTTATTGTACCTGCTTTACTATTGACTACCGATAATGAAGGAAAAAAGTATTGTTCATGGCGTTTCACCTCTGTCGCGACCATTCACACGGACTGTATACCTCAGCCTTAATGTCAAAGTAGTTCGCGGGAGCGTTGCATTTATTAGTAATATTAATTGCAATTCTGTTGTATCTTATTGTACCCTAATGACAGGTCTAGCAAACGTAGTACGGCGTGCTTGAATAAACCTCTTACAACATGACAGCTATACTCAGCTAACCTGTTCCTTTCAAATATTAACTTGTGCGCACACGATAAAACAAATCACTCTATGGGACTTAAGAAGTTCGATATACTTCGTATCAAAAGCCCCTTAACTTAAAAGGAAACTAAGTGCAAACAGACCTTTAAAGCATGACATGAGACATGATATAAAATGTCCCAATAGCTCAATCAACCACACAAGTAACCTTGTAAAGGTTTTACCAAGTTTTTAAAGGTTTTAGCCTAAATATTAATGTATCCATTTGCATAGGGTTGGAAAAGTAACAGCTTTATTATTATCATTTAAACATATAAATATAAAATATAAATTACATAAATAAATAGACGCATTTCCACAAAGATTGGAGTAGCATCTAGAAAAAACTAGTGGAATTGAGTGGAAAAAAAGAATAAAACAAATAATGTGATTATTGTAATAAAAATGAGCAACAATATAATTATTAAAGCAAAGTTATTAAAAATGAACTTTAAACAAAGACTAGTGGTGGGCACTGCGACTCATTCCTAAGGCAATAAAAACATAGTGTTGACCCGGAGGTGCTGATTATCTACACAGTTCTTCAGAAATTGTTCCATATCCTCTTTGTATTGAAATACAAAAAGAAAGGGATCGAGGTTGTCCAGGTCATCACTGTGTTTTAGATTGTCAATAGCTTTCTGACGGTCCTGCACGTCCATAGCTAGAAACCGCGGTGCAGTCACATGGCCCCGGAACAGTTTTTCATTGGACTGCACCCACAGCATGGCAACATGTAGGTCCCTCGCAACTGCTGGCTCCTATACAATGTAACAAGAATTTTATAAGCAAAGTGAGACCAAAACATATGACATAGGATCAAATAAATTCTGTACAGCAACTATGCTGTATATCTACTATTATTTTTTATACATTTATTATTATTGTGTTTTCTTTTAATCAATGTGAGCCGTGTATAAATGTGCTTTACAAATAAATCTTAATTACTTTATGTTAGCAATGGATATTATTATTTGGTTTCAGTGGAATCTACATTCAATACTGACCTGACAAACCTCCACCTGTTTTCTTTTTGGCAGCCTGAAGACGGGCATATGATTCCCCTCAATGACAGGCTTAGACTCTTCTGTCCAGTGTGCAAACAATCTTCCCAAGCTTGGGAAAAACAGTTGTGTTAGCTATTGTAACAACACCAAAACCTCAGGGCAATTTTAAATGGGGAAAATAATAGACACCTGTCAAGTTCAAAGTTTTCCATTAACAACACGCACCACCATTTTCGCAAAGTGGGCATGTCAGCCTGTAAAAGAATCATTTAAAAAATGAAAATTCATATTATTTGCAAATTTCCTATTTTGTGATGGCAGGATTACATTTCTACTTTATTTTAAAGCTACTTACTATGGAGTAGTCAAAGGGGGCTTCCAATGCCACATACAAAGCAGACTGCAGAAGAAATATGTTTTAAAATTCAAATCAATTATCCAACATTTATGCCTACAAATGTTAACCAGCATGTCTCACCATCAACATGAAGATTCCACAATCAATTCCCAAGCTTTGAATTGGAAACCCCTGTTGTTATAACAGGAAAAAAAGACAGTGTCAGTAAACTGGCCTTTCTCAACTTGC